GAATGACCAGTATAAACCATGGGACGAAGGAATTGGAAATTCCCTGTTAAGAAGTACCTGCACTATCATGAAACAATATAGTGTTATATGAAAGTTGACTGAGATTCGTTATAAATGTATATTGCGAACTCAAAAGCAACCACTTAAAAAAAAAACATTTTTAAAGGATTATAATTGTTATGCTAAGAGAGGAGAGAAACTGAATGATAAAATGAAATGCTTGTTTAAAATCAGAGTGTTTGTGGGATGGCTCACACCTGTAATCCCAGCACTTCCACTTCAGAAGTGAAACCGGGCCCATTGCTATAGAGCTGATGAACAGTACTAGGATAATATAGAAATATAATAAGCAGCTCTATGCCCACAAATTTGATAATGTAGATGAAATGCTTGTACCAATCATAATCTTGAAAGACATAATCCCGAATTCCAAACCCCAAATACTGATGTCCCCCAAAATCAAAATCTTTAAAGTTCAGAATCTCTGAAGTCTAAATCTCTAATGTCTAAAATCCTGAAAATTACAATCCCAAAAGATTAAAATCCTCAGTGTTGAAACTCTGAAAGCCAAATTCTGGGGAAGGGGATTAGTGTTTTTTGGTTGTACACACGATGGTTGCATCATGTTAGTTATGTCATGTCAGGCAGAACTATAACCTTGTCTTTATTTGGAAATTAAGTATGGTTTAAGGGGATGCAAAGAGTGCCAAGTTGACAAGGGGTGCACTGTGGACATAAAAAATTTTAGGTTTCAACTTGAATGGATTAAGGAATATCTAGAAACCTGGTAAAGCATTATTTTGGATGTGGCTGGGAGGGTGTTTCCAGAGATTAGAGTGTGAGTCTGAGTGGACTAAGTGGGGAAGATCTGTTCTCACTGTTTTTATTTTATTTTATTTTATTTATTTATTTTTTAGAGATGGGGTTTCACCATGTTGGCCAGGCTGGTCTCGAATTCCTGACGTCAGGTGATCGGCCCACCTCGACTTCCCAAAGTGCTGGGATTACAGGTGTGAGCCACCATGCCTGGCTTTAAAAAATTTTTATTTTATTATTATTGTTTTTTTTCTGCTCATTGTTAATGGGTGTCAACTACTCAACCAGGGTCCCAAAGAGAAGAAATATAGAAGGCAAATTGGTCTCTCTCTGGGAGCTGGGACAGACTTTTCTTCTCTCTTGGACATCGAAACTCAAGATGTGCCAACCTTTGGACTCCAGGACTTAACACCAGTACCCCCCAAGTCCTAAGGCTTTTGGCCTCAGACGGAGAGTTATACCATTGGCTTTCCTGGTTCTGAGGCCTTTGGAGTTGGACTGAGCCATGCGACCTGTATCTCAAGGTCTCCAGCTTTTGGATGGCCTCACCATGGGTCTTTTCAGCCACCATAATTGCATGAGCCAAGTTCCCTAATAAATTTCCTCTCATATCCAATTGGTTCTGTCTCTCTAGAGAACCCTAACCCAGATTTGGTATTGGGGAAGCTGAATATCATTTCTTCTTGCTCTATTGCTTACCACACAATGGAAGAGATCTGTGAAATTGTTACCTTGCAAAAAGGCTGCGATAAGTGTATGAGGCTACTTAATGGTGAAACAGTTTAAAAGCTAATTGTTATTAGTGCTGTGAAAGTAGAAAGTCACCTAACCGCAATGGCTGAGAAATAACCAGACTTTCAGATGGACAGCATGTACTTACAAAATTTGTAGACCACAACCATTCCCCAAATGCAAGTGAAGTGAGTGTTTTGAAGATCATAGAAGTGAAAATGCAGACCAAATACAAGAAATCTCTTCTGCCAAATGATTTAATCATGTATGGCTTCTCCCCCTTTACACATAATGCCAACTCGCTATGCTGTGTATTTCATCTTTGCATTATTTTTGATACTGAAGGTAAATTTAGATCTCTTTTTTTCTTAGTTTGGCTAAAGGAGATCAATTTTGCTTAACTTTTCAAAAAACCAACTTTTTGTTTCATTGACTTTTGTATTGTTTACTTCATTCTCCTTTCATTTCATTTCTTTCTTTTTTTGAAACAGAGTCCTGTTCTGTCGCTCAGGCTGTAGTGCAGTGGTGTGATCTCGGCTCACTGCAACCTCTGTCTCCCGGGTTCAAGCAATTCTTCTCCCTCACCTTCCCGAGTAGCTGGGACTACAAACACATGCCACCATGCCCGGCTAATTTTTTGTCTTTTTAGTAGAGACAGGCTGGTGTGTGGTTTCATGGACTCCTCAGTCCTGCTCCCTATCCCAGCCCACCAGCTTCCTGAAAGGCACCGCTGTTCCTGCTGCTGAGAGCTGCTCCCAAGGCCAACTGCAGACAGGCTTCGCCCAGCGCTTCAGCAAGCAGCTGGCCATTGACCCGAGCTGCTTTGTCTGGGCTTCAGAGCACAGTCAGCAGAGCCTTCTGAAGCTGAGAGACTGGGAGACGATGGCTCCCTTCTCCCCACAGATTAGGACAAATCCATGCATGCTCTGTGATGTTCATGTATGTGTTTTGTTTTGATGCTGTGTGTAAGATGCTTGTGTTAACCACATACTCTTCTTTTCCAAGCTGGGTGGGTGGGAGGAGTCCAAGGGGGGAGCCCAAAGTTAGCCCAGCCCCAGGTGAAAGGAGAGACAGGGAGCCTTCAGGCACAGGGGCTCATCTCCTGCAATCCCCAAGTCCTGCCATGCCCCAACCTTGACCCAGTAGGGCTGGAGAGCTTCAGTGCTACCATCCTGACCAATCCTGGGAGAGGCACCATGGGCATATCCCAGCCTGGAAGGACTAGAACTTTTTGAACTCTTGTTCAAATTAACTACTTCTTTATGGGCCCCTGGCAGAGTGGTAGACTCCCCATGGGAGGTGGTCTGGCCCTGAGGGGACAGTGGTTGCACACTCAGCATCTACTGACCCACATGCAGCCTCTATGCCCTGAGCCTCCCTTCCCTCCCCATATTTCTGCTCCGAGGTCCCCAGTGATCCCCTAACTTTGGCCAGAGCTGCGTGCCTCGCTGACATGCATGTGTGTTAAGAAAAAAAGAAGAAGAAAAAAAGATTAAGTCTGATGTTTCTTTGTTGATTTTTCTGTCTGGGAGATCTGTCCAGTGCTGAAAGAGGGGTGTTGAAGTCTTCAGCTATTATTATTTCAGACCACTGGGATCAGTGATTCCCCTCTGGCTGGGGCTGGTTTAAATGCCCCCTCTGTGGGCAGGCATCAGCTGAGTTTGGTCTGGCTTTTTTTTTTTTTTCCTGCCCTAACAGGACAGCACTGAGTTCAATGCATCACAGTTGCTGGGTTCTCCTTCCCTGCACCCAGAGGTACCTTCAGTACCACGACAGGGGGAGGGGAGGCGTCAGTGATTCAGAACTGTTTTTTCTATTTCTTCAGTGCCTCTTTCAGCATTATGAAGTTAAGACCAGGTACTATGAGTGCTCACCTGATTTTTAATATCTTATGAAGGTGTTAATTGGTGTCCTTGTGGAGGGGGATGATAGCTGGAGCCTTCTTCTATTCCTTTATTTTGCTCTGTCTCCTCACTCCTTTTTTTTTTCTTTTTGAGATGGAGTCTTGCTCTGTCACCCAGGCTAGAGAGCAGTGGCATGATCTTGGCTCACTGCTACCTCTGCCTCCCAGGTTCAAGCTATTCTCCTGCCTCAGCCACCCGAGTAGCAGGGACTACAGGCACGCGCCACCATGCCTGGCTAATTTTTGTATTTTTGGTAGAGACAGGGTTTCACCATGTGGGCCAGTATGGTCTCAATCTCTTGACCTCGTGATCCGCCCCCCTCGGCCTCCCAAAGTGCTGGGATTAGATGTCACGGAAAGGGAGGAAGGTGAGATGAGGCCATTCAGGGGTCATTGGTACCTGGATTTCTCACCTTGAACTAAGTGACATCATTGGACCTGTTGGGTAGACAAGGTCTCGGGGACATCCAGATGGACTTGTTTTCACAGGCAGCAAAAGAGACATTCTGAAGCTCAATAGTAAGAGAGAAACTAGAAGTACAGAGAAACAACTACAGACTTTGGGGTCCTAAGAGGCAGTTGGAACCATGGGAGTAGATGATGCTATCTAAGAAGAACGTGAGATGTGAAAGGAGTGCACTCAAGCTAGAACCCTGCAAAACACCCACATCTATAGGGTAAGCGGAGGGAGGGGCAGAGTACTTGAATTTGTGGAGTGCCTACTAAGTTCCAGGTGCTTTGACATTTTGTCTCACCGAGATTTCACAATAAATCTGTAAGACAAATAGTTTTACCTCTTACTTCCCCTGCCCCGAAAAGTGCAATGGAATCAGAAGTGTAGGCGGAGAACTAGGGGAAATTAGGAAGTGACATTTTCATAAGGCCAAATGATGCTGATGGATCAAATAGGATAAGAAATGTGAAAAAAAAAATCATTTCACACCTTTACCCATCAATATTTAACCAAAATTGAGTCACTGAATTTAATCATTGAAGTTTTCTCATATTCAAAAGGGAAAGAAAATCAACCAACACAATAAATAACGCCCTCAGGTATGCAATTGAAAAGTAAGGCTTGGTATTTTTTTTTTTTTGGGCATAAAATCTTGCTTTGTCAGCATTAATAATACTAACAGATAGCATGAGAAGAAGCAAAGCGTTGGCTAAATGTACCATAACTACCTTGGAATGGTTATCTGTAGTCTATTTTTTTCCCACTCATCTAAAGTTCTTAGACGAAAGCAAGCTGGGTTACTGTGAACCAAAATCTCCTGCTAAGAAACCAAAGTTTGAGGCCCGGTGCAGTGACTCACACCTGTAATTCCATCACCTTGGGAGGCTGAGATGGGAGGTCTGCTAGAGATCTAGAGTTCAAGACCAGCCTGGGCAACACAGGAAGACTTCCAAGTCTATTAAAAAAAAAAAAAGAAAAAGAAAAAGAAAAAAAAAAGAGAAGTCAAAATATGAGAACAAAATTATGAGACTGACCCTTGGAATTAACTAGTGAAAAATACATTTTAAGGAGAGCAAAGAAGCATGAAGAATCTTGTCAGTAAAATCTTTTATTTGGTTTATATTTCAAGTGTAATTTAGAAAGTTTATAAGCCAGGTAAATTGATAATATGAAAGCAAGGAGAAACTAAGCTAGACCATTTAGCTAAGCTCAGGGACAAGATTCATTAAAAAAAAAAAAATCAAAAATTTGACTTTTTTCTTGCCATCAATTGTGCTTAAATATATCCATCATATTTCAGTTGCAAAAGATGGTGAAGAACTCAAGCTGAAGAGGTGTCTGCTGATTTTTGTTGCTTCAGTTAGAACTTTTCACCTATAAAGGACATACAAAGAATAGTTTTGAATTTTCTCAATGTTCTTTTGTAATTTTTAATAAACTTTTAATTGCAGAACAATTTTTGATTTATGGAAAAGTTGCAAAGATAGTACAGAGAGCTCTCATGTATCCGGCACCTAATTTTCCTGCTGGTCAACATCTTACGTTACCATGGTAGGTTTGTCACAACTAATGAACCAATACTGATGCATTCTTATTAATCAAAGCCCATACTACCTTCAGATTACTCAGTTTTTACCCAATTATTTTTTTCTGTTCTGGCATCTCATCCAGCATGCCACATTACAGTTAATTGTCACATTCTCTTAGGCTCCCCTGAATGGTGACAGTTTCTCAGCCTTTTCTTGTTTTTGATGACCTTGACAGTTTTCAGGAGGAGCAGTCATGTATTTTGCAGAATGTGCCTCAGTTTAGATTTGTCTGATGTTTTTCTCGTGGTTAGACTGGAGTTACGAGGTTTTGGGAGGAAGACCACAAAGGTAAAGCGCCACTCTCATCATATCAAATCAGGGGTGCAAACTATCAATATGACTTATTACCAATGATGGTGACACCGATTACCCGGCTCAGGTTGTTGTGTCAGGTTTCTCTGCCATGGAGTGACTCCATACAGTACAGAGAGTGTACTTGCATGCTGTACTTTTCATATAGTACTTTTTGGAAGGAAGTCACTATGCGAACCCCCACTTCAGGGTGGGGAATCATTCTGATCGCATTGAGCAAGGAGTATCTACATAAATATTTGGAGTTCTGAATGTGAGTTGTGGCTCGTCGCTCATACAGAAATTCTCCTGCCACTTCTTCGCTCTCAAAATTCCCAGTTTTCCCTGCTTTCAACACATACCCTTTTTCTGAAATTTCAAATTTTATTCAATCATTTATGTCAGTATCAACTTTTAGATATTTTACACTTTGGGTTATAACCTAACACAACCTTATTTTGCTCCTTGAAGTGCCCTAGTTTGGACTATGGGGAGATTTTCCAGTTGGTTCCTATGTCCTTCATCTCAATCTATTTTCACATAAATCATGTTATTCTTTGCTCCTTCTCTCTTGTTTCTCCCCATTTCGATATGTGCGTATCTAAGGTTTTATTGCCAGTGAGTGATGTAGGGTCCAAGCTGATGAGGAGGAGGCAGGATTGCCAAGGTATTTTACTTCAAACCCATCTAAAGATCCAGTGAGATATTTTCCCTGAGGTCAAAAAAAACATTTGGGCTACCAGGACTCATTATTATGAATGTATGAGTAGATATTTGATCCAATTGTTTCATGTATTTATTTAAGTAAACAGTGTTGGAATGGTCTAACTCCACATCTTTGCTCTGGCTTCATCCTGTGCAATTGGTACGATATACTATTATTAGATTAATATTTATTTTTAAAAAATTGTACTTATTTTTATTTTTACTTTTTAGTAGAGATGAGGTCTCGTGTTGCCCAAGCTGGTCGCTGGTGGTGAACTGCTAAACTCAAGTGATCCTCCTACCTTGGCTTCCCAAAGATTACAGGCATGAGCCACCATGCCCAGCTTTAGATTCGTATTTCTAAGTGTGGTTCTATTCATTTACTTCAAGCCTGCAATAACTTCCTAATTCCTATCAAGTCATTAGCTTAGTATTCATGACATTGCATGCTAAGTCCCCAACTCACTTTTTAAAATCATTTATTGTTTGTTATTTTTCTACTTATGCCATATGTTCTAGCCACCTTGGACCTAAGATCATAGAGATATTTTATTTATTTTTTATTTTTTATTTTTTTTTGAGACGGAGTTTCGCTCTTGTTACCCAGGCTGGAGTGCAATGGCGCGATCTCGGCTCACCACAACCTCCGCCTCCTGGGCTCAGGCAATTCTCCTGCCTCAGCCTCCTGAGTAGCTGGGATTACAGGCACGTGCCACCATGGCCAGCTAATTTTTTGTATCTTTTAGTAGAGACGGGGTTTCACCATGTTGACCAGGATGGTCTCGATCTCTCGACCTCGTGATCCACCCGCCTCAGCCTCCCAAAGTGCTGGGATTACAGGTTTGAGCCACCGCGCCCGGCTTATAGAGATATTTTATCTTTTTTTTTTTTCCCCTTTCTAGTTTCATTAATATTGCTGATTAGAAGCAACATTCCATTTCTTTTCTTTTCTTTTTTTTTTTTTTTCTTGAGACAGGGTCTTGCCGTTGCCCAGGCGGGAGTGCAGTGGTGTGATCATAGCTCGTTGCAGCCTCTACCTCCCAGGCTCCAGTGATCCTCCCACCTCAGCCTCCCAGGGAGCTGGGACTACAGGTGTGCACCACCGTGCCTAGCTAATTTTTGTATTTTTTTGAAGAGATGGGGTTTCAAATGTTCCTCAGGCTGGTCTGGAACTCCTGGGTTCAAGCGATCCTCTTGCTTTGGCCTCCCAAAGTGCTGAGATCACAGGTGTGAGCCACCGAACCCAGGCTCCATTTCTATCAATTAAAACAACATCTTGTGTCAGTGATCCTCTGTTTGCCCCACCTGATTCACTTATTTCCTTGACCATCCTGCTGTGTACCCTGGGAGGTAACCTGTGGACTACAGTGACACTTTGCTGCCCTCTGCCTTTCTGCTGGGTTCCGCCAATGGAAAGCCCAGAGGACATCTGAAAGTGAGGTCAGGGTACTTTTTCAGTTATGTGGATTGCCTCGGGCTGCTCACAACCCTCTCTGGAGAAGATACTGTTTCTTTCAGGGCAGGATTCTTCACACAGCTCTCTCCTTAAGGATTCAGGTAACTGATCCCTCTTCTCTCTGGGGCCATTGTCAGGCAGGTTATTGCACCATCCCTTGTCAATTACCTACAATGCCCCACCCACACCTTTGTAATTAGTCTTCATTAAATCTTTAAACTAGGACAGTTTGAGTGCCACGTGTTTCTGGTTGCGAACTAATACACACTTCCTCTTTTTTTTTTTTTTTTTTTCATGTATATATATATTTTTAAAGATGGGGTTTCACCATGATGGCCAGGCTGGTCTTGAACTCCTGACCTCAGGTGATCCACCCACCTCAGCCTCCCAAAGTGCTAGGATTACAGGTGTGAGCCACCACGTCTGGCTCCACACTTCCTCTTTAGAATTAAAAATTACTTCTTTCAAGAAACTGTCACTCGCACATCTTACAAGATGTGATCCTTTCCTCCTCTGAACATAAAATACCACTTTGTCTGTAGGCATTAATTCAATTGTTCATTTTAGTTAGGGATTTGTCTAATCCCCATTTTTTTGAGCATAAAGTCTGTAATGACAGAGGGACTAGCTTATTTATCTTGCCCACCCCTCAACACAACACCATATCAGTATCTTACATAGTCCTAGATTTTGATACAGTGATATATTACTTGCTAAGATAATGTATACTTGATATTCGATCCTAGATCCTTGACACATTACTAAGTAAATGAACATTTTTAAACATATCTTCCAAGAATTATTTTTGTTAACCTATACAGAGTCCTCATCACTTCAGGAAGGAAACTGGTATTGCAAAGAATAGAAAAACTGTTTTCTTCCCATACTCAAGATATATTCTAGAGGGCACTGACTAAATTATGTTGAGTTCTACTTAACTACATCCTCAATAGACAGTCCTGAGAAAAATTAGCTGAAAATGACTTTACTGAATTTCAGATGGTGAATTCTATATAACATTTCCAAATATTCTAATTTCTATGTTCACCTCTTTCATAGTTCACCTTTTCCAATAGAAGTTTTCTATTTAAACTCACCTTGCTTTGATAGATGTTTTATGCCACAATCAATCCAAATATCATATAATATGTTATATTCATTGCTCTTCTATTTTATATTTACCAGTTCCTTTTGTTAACTTGTTTGTCTTAGCGGGAAACATGTCTTTTGTATCTCACCATACTCTAGTATTTTACAAATATAAGTTCTTCCTTAATAGATCACCAGAATTCTGAGAAGTTTAGAAAATTAACCATTCCGTTATTTACTAAAATATGGTTTCAGAGTATAGGGCTATCTTCTTCATAAGAAGAAATCAAAGCCAATCTTTACATTATGATAGCACTTCAGGAACTTAAGAAACTGTTACTGCTGAATTATTCAAAACTATGAATAATTTACAAAGTCTTTAGTTATATTTCTACAAACCCACATATGCCGAGAGGAATGATTGCATTGACTCACCATCAGTGCTTAGAAAGCTAGAAAGCATGCATGGCTCTCCTTCTGTTGATATCTCTCTTGATTTGGCAAAGAGAACAATGAGGACAGCAAAGGGTTGCCAAGTAGTCATCACAAATAGATCCCTGTTTGAAAACCAAAAAGAAATAAAAACATAAAATTCACCTGTTTAGAGTTAAGACTTGCCACATCTTGAAGAGAAGCTGAAGGCTTCAGATTTCAGATTCAGATATTTCAGATTCAGAGCCTGGATGGATACATTTAGGAAAATGTTACCTCGCTTTTTCATACAACTGTTGTCTCTTTTTATGACAGAAAATATTTTTCTATACTTTACATTTCTGAAAATGTAAGGAGATGTCCAACCACACTATCAAGTGTAAGAGTAAAACAGCTTTAGGAAGTAGAATTTGAAAACTGTTTTCTCCTGGACCTCCTCTGTCACAGTAAGTTACTAGAGCATGTGCTCCACCAAATGCGGTGTAAACCAAAAAAGAGGAAGATACCAAATATAAGAAGCAGAAGTCTAACACAGCGGAGAAGTTAATGGAATCTCCAGGGTGATGGTGAAGGGAGATCCCAGGATGAGAGCTAAGCACTAGGAATAAAGGCAGCTGGTCAAAGGGTAATAGGACAGGAAGCGATTTCATTACAAAGATGAAAATGATAAAATATCTATGAGTTGAAGGTGTTGGGAAGAGATTTAGAAAACTGGCAAATAGCTGGGCGCGGTGGCTCACGCCTGTAATCCCAGCACTTTGGGAGGCTGAGCCGGGCAGATCACCTAAGGTCAGAAGTTCGAGACCAGCCTGACCAATATGGTGAAACCCCGTCATAAAAAAAAAAAAAAAAGAAAACTGGCAAATAATTTGGGGTTAAAGGACTCAGAAGTAAATGGAGGAAAAATACTAACAAAAAACCAATAATGACTAATAATACTAAGAAAAACAATATTGAGCAGGAAAAGCAATCATATTTACTATATGACTCAGCTCTGAAGCTGAATGAAACAAATATAGGTATCATCATGTAAACACTGAATATGGAATTAACCATATAACTATATTAGAAAGAATAGGGTAAGGGTAGAGGGTGCATGTGTGTGGTGCAGGAGGAGGAGAAAACAGAACTAAATTCTCAAATTCCATAGTGGGAAGTTAACAGATAATACCCCTAAGTAAAAGTCAAGAAGCAGCAATACAAGTGTGTGCTTTGGAGATATAAAGGCATCAGGTCTAGGGAAGAACAAGCAGGGAAGAAACTTTTGGGGACTACTTTGTAAAATTAGATGATTTAAAAAACACTTTGTTTCAGGGTTTTGATAAATAAAAAAATTAAAGCTGTATCAGAAAAAAGCGACATTTAAATTCCTGGCACTTAATAGACCTGAAACTGAACACAGTTATGGGCAGGGCACCAGATGAAACCTGATCTCCATCAAGTGCAGGGTCTGGAAACTATATCAAGCACTCATCTCCGAGCAGTTGAGGGAGGGTCAGAACCTCCAGCTGCATGACTCCTACGCTACCTTTTGGCTAATGTTATTCCTACAAAGGCAATCTAGTTCTCAGGCAGGAGGGAAGTCTGCTTTGGGAAAGGGCTGTTAACCTCTTTGTTTAAACCATAAACTAAGTTTCTCCCAAAGTTAGTTCAGCCTGCACCCAGGAATGAACAAGGACAGCTTGGAGATTAGGAGCAAGATGGAGTCAGTTAAGTCAGATCTCTTCCACTGTCTCAGTCATCATTTTGCAAAGGCAGCATCATCACCTCAGCCTCCTGAGTGGCTAGGACTACAGGCATGCTCCACTGCACCTAGCTGAAACTATTTTATCTTTTCATTTAAAAACATTTATCAATTTGTGAATTACAAAAACAAAAAATGCTTATTGGCAGTTAGCACTTGTGAACAAAATTTAAAAATAACGAAAATTTCTCTGATACATTAGTCTCAAAGCACCTGCAAAGAAAGAAAAATTAAAAAATTAAAAAAACTAAAATGCATGCTATAGAAAATTTTTATGACAAATTGAAACACAGAACAATATTAAGTGAAAAGTAACAATCTAACCCCTTTCTATGCAATGTCACTACCAGAGATGAACTATTAGTAATTTGCTGTGTATCCCCTTTCCTTAGATTTTTTTCTATGCCTCTGACTCTTAAAAATATAGATTAGAGGAAGATACAGCTATGGACAGACATACAGAGTTGGGCATTTCAGGAGCTCTTTTATTTTTAAAAAATGAGATCATACTATCCTGTAACTTATTTTTCCTACTTGGTATATGGTAGTCAATACTGTATGAAATTTCTGTGTCTTGTTTTGTGTCCTTAAGACCTTAACCTTGTGACCATGTGGGGACACCTGCTTTTGGTTTCTATCATCCAGAGGACAGGAATTTGGGAGTTCATGTCAGTTAGTCCTAAAATTTTTTTCTTGAGCAATTAAAAGCCTTGTAAGCTTGAAATTGGCTTCTCTAGGCTCCTTCTGGAAAAAGCAGTAGAAACTGCTCAATGCTGTATAGCTCAGTAGCTAAGTCTCCATCTTTTGATGGTGGTAGCCTGGGTTCAATTGCTGGCTTCTGAAATAATTCCTTTCTGGTTTGTTATTTGGGTAACTTTGCCGTTTATTGAGGTCCCCCCCCGACTCCGCCACAATGGATAGCTTCTGATTTCCCCTTTTGAATTTTCCTTTCTCTGAACTACCTTTGTGGAGACTATAAATCTTGTAAAAAAAAGAAACTGCTTATCACGTCCTTGAAGCACCTAGGAGGTTACCTTTGGTAAAATTCAGAAACCAGAAATATTGGCTGCTTGGCATGGCTGAAGCAAGGATTTATTTTTTAAAGAGTACTATGGTTAAATGTCAGCTTAATTAAAAGTGGATAAACAAGCTATAGATACATTTAAAAGGCCTGTATGTTTTTCTCTTCTTGGGACTTGTTTTTCTGAAAAAAGGTTTCTTCTTCTCAGTTGACTGGATTATTTTTCTCCTTTTTCTTTTTTTGTCTTGTCATCTTTAATGCACACAGAGGCCCTAAGTAAGGTAACTTCTGATAGCCTGGGACTCACTCGGAAAAACAGAGGAGGCGCCAGAGACCATGTTTTGGGAAAAAAAAAACACAAAACACCCCACTGTTTTCCTCCTGAAATCCCAGGATTAAAAAGGAATTTGATTTCTCAAAATCAAAGTCTCTGTTCTGTTTTGCATTGTGTTATCTGACAGTTTTTGTTTTGAAGGTATCAGCAATTACTTTGCATTATGAGAGAGCTTTGGTGTGTAATAACTGGGCAGGAAATGTACTTTAAGGGATGGCTAACACTAGTTATGGAGGAGTACTTGACTCTTTGCACACTTGGATCAGAGAAGCATGCTCCTGGCCACCTGGAAGATAAGAAAACATCCCCACTCCCCAATGGGAGATGAGACTCCCATGAGATTGGGCTGATTGGCTTTGGGTTGCCTTGCAATGAGATGTACAGTCAGTTAAAAGCACTGCACTCTCTTCTCCCTTAGTATTTCCTTCCTTTTGGGGATCCAGAAACCAGTATAAAATAGCACCTTCAATTTTGGAGATCCGTCTTTGCCTTCAGCTGCTTATTTGCTACTTATTTGGCTCTAGAAATGCATGCTTTCTTGGCCCTCTTCCTCCAAGGGCTCTACCCTGAAGCCAGTCATCCAATCAAGAAATTGGCAAATGAAAAATCTTAGAAGTGCTGAATCTTCTGTCTGTCTGTATTTATGCGTGTCGTGTGTGTGTGTGTGTGTGTGTGTGTGTGTGTGTGTGATGTTTATATATAAAAGAGCTCTGATTAATTGGCTTAGAAAAATAAATGCTTAAGTCAAATATTTTGTTAGAAAAAGAGAAACTTTAATGTATTTTTCTTCATGTGGCTTTAGTAATCTTTTGGAAATAAAGACAGTTTTAAAGATTCTTGGTAAAATAAATTATCTTGAAAATGTAAACATTTGGTCTAAATGAAGGTCAGATATCAGATTTGCTAAATGCTTTTAGGTTAAATTGTTTATTTGACTTTTGAAATTTGATTTACTCACTTTGGAGCATTAGATTATAGATAAGGCCTAGGGCATATGGAGAGCTAGGCCTGGGAGCTATGCTAAAAAGAGTCAGACTTTATCTTCATTTCTGCCTAATGTCCTAGGCTCCACCCCAAGTGCATAATTAAAATTTCTTACTTATCAGGTTTTTCACTAAAAATAAAAGTTGCTAAGAGTTAACGTTGTAACATGTCATTGAGACCACTGGAGAAATGGTTTTACGTACAAGGTATGTAGGGAATGATTTTGGTAAAAGATTACAAGAAGGCATAGGAATATGGCTTTAGTTAACGGGAATGTAATTTTGTCTAGTTCAGAGGGTTTTAAAGATTGCCTTTTTTTTTTTTTTTTTTTTTTTTTGAGACAGAGTCTCACTCTGTTGCCCAGGCTGGAGTGCAGTGACACAATCGTGGCTCATTGTAACCTCTGCCACCTGGGTTCCAGTGATTCTGCCTCAGCCTCCAGAGTAGCTGGCATTACAGGTGCCCACCACCATGTCCAGCTAATTTTTGTAGTTATAGTAGAGATGGGGTTTCACCATCTGGCCAGGCTAGTCTTGAACTCCTGACCTCATGACCCACCCACCTCAGCCTCCCAAAATGCCGGGATTACAGACGTGAGCCATCGTGCCTGGCTAAAGATTGTCTTAACTTAAAAGAGTATTGGGACAAAACTGAAGGTTTAAGCAAAGTGAAAAGGATTTGTAAAGGGTTGATCTTCTAAAAAATTCTGTGGGTATAGACAAGTTGGCTAAGGTCTAAAAGAAATTATTTAGATTTCCATATGTTAAAACATTAAAATCATACAGATGTGGGGCCAGAATCTGGGTCCATGTGTCTGAATAACAGAGTTTTCTTAGAAAACGGATCTGCTGTTTGTTGGAAAATTGTAAAGCATTCTAAAAAGTTTATGAAAATCTTAACTTATGGTCAAACTAGTTAAAACTCGATAGATACGTAACATTTTAAGTAAAAACTAGCTTTAACATTAAAGATGCACTAATGCAAACATGAAATTTGGTTTTCTCTTTTGAAGATGGTTTTTATGTGATGTTAAAAGATAATG